CTATGAGTCAGTACCAACTCGATGACACCTAACAACAACAACAAATTATCTTTCCTCATGTTTTTCCTTTACCAGATACATCTGGCCCATACCCCCCACCAGCCCTTTCACTCTAATCGTTTCCTACTCTAGAAGGCCCTTTGGGACTATGTCTTCCTTTTAAATTATTTTTAAATTTACCTTCTTCACAACATTTACCACTAACCAGAAAAGCTCTCAGGCTACCAAGACCTTGCGGGGGATGGGGGGGATGTAAGGGGGTTTAAAGTTATTATTTCCTAGAAATGTTATCTCCCATTTCCTGAGAGATACAACTAAGAGTTAATCTTCTAAGGGATCCTCTTATTTCCATCGTACAGTTAAGAAAACAAGCCCAGAGAATATGAGTAGCTGCCCTATTTGAAGCGGAGTAGAACTGGATCCTTATTAGACTGGCTCCAACTGGCCTTAATTTAATTACTAAGGCGAATTCCCATATGGCATCTCATTTATTCATTTTTAACAACTACACCAGGCTGCAGGCTCTGACAGGATAATTAATCCAAGCTAGAAAGTGGTGGATCTGGAATTTTCTGGCTACAAAGCTCAAGCTCCTCAAGCAAACCATACAGAACAGTCTCCCCACTCCAGTTGGGAGTTTCAGGCAAAAATTGTTCCTGGGCACTCCAGGTGAAGATGGAAAGGAAGCTACAGAGGGATGGGGAGGAAAAGAGAGGTAGGGTTAGGAGTTTATGAGCCCCAACACTATCAGTCTATCTATTTGCTAATATGTAACCAAGAAGATGCTCAACAGCAGACATGGGGCAAAATTCCCAAACAAAACAGGATCCGAGTGTGGCACTGTAGGATAAACAATGGACTGTCAATCGCAAGATCATGGTTCAAACCCACCAGCCTATAGGGTATAGGAAGTGTGGCACTGTAGGATAAGCATTCGACGCAAGGTCAGTTTGAGCCACAAAGTCATTGGTTCAAACTCACCAGCTGCTCCTTTGAAACCAACTCGACGGCACTTAACAACAATATACAGGGTCACTATGAGTGAGAACCTACTCGACAGCACTTAACAAGTTCTATAATGCCACCTACTTTTCCGATGCTCCACACTCCTCAAACCCAGTTCAAGTCCCGTTTTTTAACAGGTGGGGAAACTGAGGGTCCCCCAGCATTAAGCAACATCTACACCCTCCTTCTTTCCCAACCCTCCACGCCAGAGGTCCCGGTGTGCTCTTCTACCAACCCTCACAGATCGGCTGATGTTGTCCATCTTGTTGACGACCTGTTGGAAGAGAGGATAGCAGGTCTGACAGAAGCGCACGGGCCGGGCGCTGCGTACTAAACACCCCGTCAGCTCTGCGCTGCTGTTGGCGAAGTCCAGCAGCAGCTCCCGGCATTCTGGGTCCAGATCCGGCAGGTCCGGGGGCAGGGACAGCGGCCCCAGGCCTCCACCTTGAAGCAGGGACAGGGACAAGTCCTCCACCTCTAGCAACTGCTGCTCCGACAGGAGGTCGTGGAGGACCCGGTGGGAGCTGCTGCCAAAGGGAAGCGCGCCCAGAGCCAGCCTGGACCACAGAAGCAGCAGCCACGGCAGCAGCGATGACCGCTGACGCGCGACTGTTCCGTCCGGGTCCATCACCTGTCTCACAAACCCTGGGACGTCCACCACAGCCTCACTACTCCCAGCAAGCGCCGCTGACCTCCGCCGCTTCCGGCTTCCGTGGGCGCAGGCTGGTAGCTGCATCACGAGGCGCGCGCGTCATGACCCCGCCCCATTGGCTGCCGGCTGACTCCGCAGGCCTGCGCGTGTGCGGTTGCGCGCGGACATCTGCGGCTTTGATCTGCGAGTTGGCATCCGAGTTGGCAAGGCGCGCGCGACGCCCGGCCTGGCTTCGTGCTATAGACTACAGGAGCCGAGTGACTTAAAACGAAAAACTCAACTACAAGCCAACTCAGTCCACTAGACCTTTCTGCACTGATGTGTCTTTGTAGTAACCACAGCCTCTTGACTGTTGAGCACTTGAAATGTGACTGCTGCCGGGCTGAGTAACTGAATTTTTCATTGTATTTCATTTAAATGTAATTGACGCTGTGGGTTAATGCGCCAGACTGCAAAGCCGTTTGTAGTGCTTTGCACTCCTCGGAAACCCTCTACAGGGTTGCTATGGGTCAGAATCCACTCGACCGCACTTAACAACAACAGCAGCAGCCACATATGCCTAGTGACTATGGTGTTGGACAGCTCAGGTCTAAATTATTTCACTCTGTAATTTGGTCCTATGGTGGCCACCGTTAGCTTTGTCTAGAACTGACTCAAGTCAATCATAGGGCTATCCTCCGGTAAGCATCCTAATAGCACTGCTCTGCTTAGACTCTAAGAGGATGCTCAGGAAAACCATTTTCTGGCGTATCTGGCAAGTTTGGGAGAAAATTATTTCCAGTCTGTTTTGTGTAATCCTGCTCTCAGAGTTATTATTTTTGCCTTGTAAACTGCAGCAGTATTGCCCTAACTCAAATAGGGTTTGATCCTTCATGCTTCTGAGGGTTCTTATGGCCACTTGTTACCCATAGGGGTTAGTTAGTGCTTTGTGCTCCTAACTTTGCTTCTGATAGCTAAGTTTTGTTTCATTTTTGTTACCCAAAACAGTTAACAGCAACAACAAAAAATGCATTTCAAAAAAGAAACAAGTCTTAATTTTCATCATGCAACTTTAGATGATTTACATGATGCAATCCAGTGAGCACTGTTAAAGAGTTCTTTCAGGCACCACATGTGATGTGAGTGGATGAGTTCATTGTTAAATCTCTGTAGAAAACAATGTAGCTGAACCAATAACAAAAACAGCAATGATCTAGGAATTGCACTTCTAAGAATTTATTCTGAAGATATACTGTGTGTTTAAAGCACCACTTGCTGGTAAGTGGACACTGACTCATGACAACCCTGTGTGTGTCAGAGTAGAACTGTGCTTCACATGGTTTTCAATGACAGATTTACTAAAGTACATAGCTGAGTCTTTCTTCCAGGGCGCTCTGGATAAATTAGGAAGTCCAAACTTTCCAATTGCATCCAAGCACATTAACTTTTTACACCACCCATATATATATTTGTTGTTGTTAGGTGCCATCAAGTAGATACCAACTCATAGTGACCTTATTATGCACAGCAGAATGAAACACTGCCCAATCCTGGGCCAACCTCACTACTGTTGCCACGCTTGAATCCATCAATGCTGCCACTTGGCCAATCCATCTCGTTGGGGGTCTTCCTCTTTTCCTCTGACCCTCCACCTTACCAAACATTACCAGTCTCCAGTGACTGGTCCCTCCTGACAATATGTCCAAAGTATGAGAGATGAAGTTTGGCCATCTTGGCCTCCAAGGAGCACTCTGGCTGCACTTCTTCCAAAATGATTCTATTGGTTCTTTTGGCAGCCTGTGGCACTTTGAATATTCTCCTCTAACACCATAACTCAAAAGCATCAATTTATATATATATATGTTGTTGTTAAGTGCCGTCGAGTCGGTTTCAACTCATAGTGACCCTGTACAGGGTTTCCGAGGCATTTTGACTGGAGCAGAAAGCCTCAACTTTCTCCCGCAGAACAGCTGGTAGTTTCGAACTGCTGACCTTGCAGTTCGCAGCCCAATTCATAACCACTACACTCCTTTTATTTATAGAGATAGAGAAATAAATACAGGTATAGATATAAATGTGTGTCTTTATATCTGTACATGTATATATGTATAAATATATGTGTATGTGTGGGAGAAGGTATATTTTTCCTGGCCCCATCCACTGATATGGCCTAAGAACAGAGGTACCTCAACAGCAATGAGTATGCCCATGAATTTATTGGTACCATGAATTTATTGCATATGTTTTTTCTATCCATTGTCTTCTTAACTCCTGCCAAAAGATTGGATGAGACCATGCAAATAGGGTATACAGGACTCTAATGCTGGAATTAGTTAGCTTTGCCCTCCTGCTAGATTTAAAAGAAGCCATCTCAGAAGCAGGAACCAATGACCCCACTACCATCAAGGAAAAAATCTTGAAAGAAAGATCCCACAATCAGAGCATGAGATCCTTACTTAGAAATGTAGTAAGAGCAGAGTTGGCAGTGTGGAAGGACAGAGCAACTAAGGGCTTCACTGCCCAAGTACTGAGTAAAGCTGAGTTCTAAGGGGCAGGAGATTGGCTTGCAGGATATGCCCTTTGGGCATTTACAAACTGGCTAACGGACCTTTTTAGCACTTGTCTGAGCAGGGCAGAGGTCAAGGGGCCACATCACTGAGAGACCAAAGAGTGAGGCATGTCTGCAGTACAACAGAAAAGAGTTGTTCCTGACTGGAGGGCTGTTGTATTCTGAGTTGTTTCTAATCCTGAATTGTATCCTGTTCACATACTTAATAAACCCCCTAATCATGGGTATTGTGTCTGAGTTCTGTGTGGTCATTGCAACAGATTATCCAACCTAGATGTGAAACAGAGAGTGCTGGGGGAGAGATGGCTGGTGTTACAATAGGCTAAAAAAAATTGTAGAGTGGAGGCATGTTTGACCTCTGCCTCATAGGAATAAGCCTTGGACTGATTTTAAGTTTGATTCTCCTTCCTTCTTGTGAAGCCAGGAGAAGTCAGACATGGCCTCCATGCTGTTTTTTATTTTTTCATTTTTTTACCTTATAATGAAGTT